TATTTAGCTTTGTTCGCTATACCCGAATAAACTATAGCAGAAAGACATCCCATGCAATTTAGAAAGGTTGCAAAAATGTTGTACAGAAATTTAATTGTGAAATTGTAATGTCCGATACATGATTTCGAAAAGTTTCTTATAGGATTGCAACAACATTAAAATAATATAACACATATGTATGACAACACATTGCTACAGATATGTCATTTATAGGATGCGATTTTAACAGATAAATATTGCAAGCACACAATAACATCAAAAATTAAATAAAGTATAAGTTCGTGTGTATCGACAATGTAAAATTTCAAAATGCAATTACAATACAATACAATGCAATTGAAGTACAAGCTTTAATAAATAAGTTGAAAATAGTTTAGCACAACTCATCATAATATTACTTACAATTTTCAACTTACATATTTGCAACCATTAAAAAATAGAGTTTGAAATTACTCGCTGCAGCCTTAAGGCCATCACACACAAATGTATGTAAGCAGTAAACGTAGCAGTAAAGAAACTGACCAATCACAATCAATTATTCTCGTAAGTTTTAAAATGGCGTCTTTAAATTTCGATGTAGAACGACTTTTAGGCCCAGTTCCACAACTTGCTTTAAACGGAGTTTAAAGCAAGTTGTGGAACTAGGCCTTAAAGCCTCAAACCCTAAACATAATGCCAGGCAACAGGCAATAAGAATAAAAATAGACCAATCACAATCGACTATTACAAGAATAATCTATTGTGTCTATCTTCTTACTGTTCACGCTTACTTCTTACTGCTTACTGCCATTCTAGACGACGCTGTAGACCACGCTTTAACTGAATGTCGCGGGCGTTAAGTAGCATGGCGCTTTGAAACTGCACTAGTGCCACTTTATATCGTTCATTAAGGCCGCGTTCTGTTTCACGCATTTATATATAGTTCATGTTACGTATACTGTAGAAAATGCGCGCATAATGCGTGAAACGGAACGCAGTTTTAAGTGTCGTCTACAATGGCAGTAAGCAATAAAAAGTAAGCGTAAGCGGTAAGAAATAAACCAACCATAATCGATTATGACAAAAATAATCAACTGTGGTTGTCCATTTCTTACTGTTCACGCTTACTTCTTACTGCTTACTGCCATTGTAGACGACGCTTAAGATCTTTGTAAACTTTTGGATCTTGATTGGTGCATATTTTCAAATTTAGTCAAAGTCTTAAAGTATTAACCAATCAGATTCAAAATTCACTGAGCGCTAGGAGCGATTATAGAATTGAGAAAGAGAGAGAGAGAGAGAGAGAATGTACCTATCATGGTTTCGTTCCGATATTAACAGCACTGAAAACCTATAGTATACGTGACACAAACTATTTATTTTTAGTATTAGCAGTGAATTTCGGAACGCAGTTCACGTAGCGCCTACTGTTTCATAAAAAAAAAGCTTAACCTAACAACATAATATAATCAATATTATTTTCAGTTAAGGAGACATAATTTATTAAATAGCTCGCTCGTGATCTTATTCTAAATTATGGAATTGAATAAGTCCACGTTGTTGCAAAAGCAAGTGAAAGACAATTTCGAAGACTTGCAAAGCGAGTTTTGTGATATGAAAAATTGGGAGAAGATGATGAAACAAAAAGAACAAGAGTTATTGAACGAATATAATGAACAGGTATGTCTATAAATAAGAAATTAAGAAATAAATGTTTATATGTTCAAAAGAGTTAATTCAAGATGCTGCTGATGTTAATTTAAAATTACAAACTGTTTTTAAAGTAAAATCTGATATTAATGTTGACTATTGACTGACTTCATCTTATATTTACTTGGTACAATTCTTTTTGTGTTAGATATATTCGTTTATAAAAAGTACTTATTTTACAAAATGTAATAAATATTAACTACTAGTGGCATTGAATCAGCTATATTATAGATACATATTCATGTATGCAAATATATACATGTATATATCTTACAGCAAATATTACCTCCAGTTAGAAGCAAGATTAAAAAAAGCCCTGTGACAAAAGAAAGCAAAAGTACTGAAAATCCTAAGCGAATAAAGTCATATGATTTTGCATCATGGGACAAATTTGATGTAAGCAAAATGGTATGTATATATATATATATATATATATATATATATATATATATATTATATATTGTATTCATGGATTAAAACTGTTAAGAATTCTTGATAATAAGTCATTATTATATGTTGTAACACAAAGGATCAAGCTTGTAACGATTTAGAAGGAGAAGCACAACCCAATAATTCAAAGATAACTATATCTAAAGATCAATTAGAGGAAAATCACAGAATAGCAATGGAGTACAAGGAGAAAGGCAATTGTTTTGTACAACAAAAGAAATGGGATAAAGCAATTGCTTTATATAGTAAAGCAATAGAAATCTCTCCTTTTATTGCTACCTTTTATGCAAATCGTGCACACTGTTATTTAAAGCAAGACAAGTAAATTTTATATTTAAAGAATATTATAAATAATTTATGATGGGTTTGTTTAATTTTATATGAAATTATGATTTTGCGATTAATTGCAATTAATTTGCAATTAAATTATGAATTTATGATTTTGAATGTGTTATACAGCCTATATTCAGCAGAACAAGATTGTTCATTTGCAATACAAATAAATGATACTTATGTGAAAGCTTACCATAGACGAGCAACAGCTAGGATAGGATTGAAGAAATATAAAGAAGCAAAACAAGACATAGAGAAAATCTTGATATTAGAACCTTCTAACAAGGAAACAAAAACATTGCTTATTCAAGTTAATAAACAACTTGAAAATTCCAAAGTATGCAGAAGCTCTTTATGTCATTACTGGATGCAAATAGATATTTATATATAGACAGATGTTTATTTTTAGACAGATGTATCTAAAGAAGATATAATTGATGACATTCCGATAGAAGAAAAGGTTGCTAAGAAGATATTGGCTGAAGTGAAATCAAATAAGGAAATAATAGACACCAAAGAAAATAATAATAAGAATAACATAAATATAAAATCTACTGTAAAACCAACAACTGTAACAAGCCAAGAAACCAAACCATATATTCCATATTGGCTTCCAGAAAAAGATAATGTTAAAATCCTAAAACTTGTTGGAAAACCACCTCATTTACGTTCAAAGGTAATTCAAAACTTAAATTTATATTTTGTGATATTTATACAAGAAAATGTTACATTTTTCTCTTAATTAGGAGCCATTTAAAAAGATTTCTATACAAGAGGCTGATTTAACTAAACCTTTCGAGAAGGAAATTAACACATGCATTACAGTTAAAGAGTTGTTAGACATACCTCCTGATGATACTGTAAAATGCAAAGAAAGTGTTACAAAATCTAAACCTGAATTAGGAAAAGATATTTCTGAGAATCATCCGGAAGTACTTCCTATTCCCAAAAGTGCAGTACAATTTCTTACAAATTGGAGGAAGTATATCTCGTCTGATTTTCGATATAAATATTTAAAGGTGAGTAATTTTTTATGTATGGAGTGTATAAAAGTGTATGTGTGAATTTTTTATATGAATTATACTAGAAAATTTGAGGCGAAATTTTTTTTTCAGCAATTACCATCAGGCAGTTTACCAAATATATTTCAAGATTCAATGGAAAGCAATATTTTTAGTGATATATTAACAGTACTTAAGACAAAGTTCATAAAAAGACAGGAATCTATATTTTCATATCTGAAGGATCTTAGTAATGTTAGGAGATTTAGAGCACTCATTATGTTCACAAGTAATTCTGAGAAGCAAGGTAAAACAATATTTATTTTTTTATTGATAAAATCCTCCTTAAAAATTCAATTATATAAATCTTAAAATATTTTCAGACTTGAAACATATGTTCTTATATTGTGAAACGTTCGAGAAGATACCCGAGGAAGAACTTGCGGAAGTACGAAATAAATATGAAATTTAACAAGGTATATCACAAGAAATTTTTTATCAAAGTGAATATTATTTTTCAGTAAAAGATATAAACAGATATTGATTGTAATTTCCAATATTTAATGGAATTAAATTTAATATATTGATTGAGATAACACAGAAAGAATTAGACATGATATAAATTTCTAAAAGTTTTATATATTTTACAGGGATAAATAATATGTACACAGCAAATATCTAAGTATTAAGTACATCTATAATAACTGTAAAACATAAATAAAAACATTTCACACGTAAAGTATCGTTTACATGTGAAACTTTCAAGATATGTAATCTACAACAAGACATCTGACCTTCATTTTGGCCTATAAAAAATATTTACAGCCTAATGCATGTAGTTACTGGCTACATATTATAAATGACCATTAAGTAGTCGCTGAATTTTCTGATCATTTTTCATAATTTGTGACTTTACTTGACATATTTTATCTAATTGAGTTTTTATATTACTCTCGATTTCCTTTAATGTTTCCTTCATAGGCTCTATTATTTCTTGCGTTTCTCTGAGACAAAAATTTATTGAAGCTAAGTTATGGTGACTGCTCCTGAGACTTATATTAATTTATAATAGAAATTATGTTTACATACTTTTGCTCTCTTTCTAGTTGCTCACTCAGCTGATGGTATTGATTTTCCCAGTCTGAAAATTCTTTTTCCATCATTTCTACATCTTCCTAAACTCAAACATAATTTCGTAAGAAATGTTGATTGATGTCTAATATGTAATTAATCTTTTTATAATTATACAATAGTTTAATATATTACTTGTAGATAATCCAACAGTTTCCCTAAAGGATTTGTTGTACGCGTTAACGTCTGTATAGTCCCTCTTAATTTGTCAATTTCCTTGACTGCGGCTTCTCGATCACGTTTTGAACCTGATTCCCAAGCCTATATTCGAATAGATTCATTTAGATTCACTAGATAACAAAATAATGTTATATCTTTTCAAAACATTGTAACAACAACCACTATAGGATTTTGTGAAAACAATCAAATATCTTTTTTTATATAAAAAAGTCTCGCGATCTCTTACAATGTCCACTTTCTTTGGCATTACGTCAACATTGTCTGTATTGACTAACTCCCTCTGGGTCTCTAAGATTTGTGCCACAAGGTGCCCGTGCTCCTGCATCAACTGATTGTCTATTTTGTAATCTCCATTCTCCAGGAAATCGCCGCTACTTCCCTTGGCTTCCATCACCACCATATCTTCAGCATCATCATCATCTTTCAAATCGGAATTCTCTACAATGACGCTGATGTTGCCCAATGGTGTTCTGCGCATAATTTCCGTTTAATACTTTTAACAAAATGACATCTCTCACACAATTATGCTATTGTCTTACTGTATTTCTTCATTGATGATCAGTTCTGCTTTTGCTCTCATTCTGGGTGCTGCTGGCCTGGCACTAATAGGTCTTGCGCTGGGCGGTCTTAATGAAGTTTTAGGCCTTGTATTCAGTTGTTGTAAAACGCTAGAATAAATGTCAAGTTAAACATCAGTTACTACCGTAACTCGTACTCTGATGTCATTGACAATAAACTCATAAGATCGAACATTACGTTGTTTCACTAGTTTCGACTTGAGATCCTACGAGATCTGATATTAATCGACCGTTCTCAGTGTTTTGCAGAATTTTGTCTTCTTCTGGTATCCCATTTTCTTTAGTTTCCATGATATGATTGCTGATCAGTGTATCTTGTTCTTCATTGACAGATTCTGTAGACAAATTTGCTACTATTTCCCGCGAGCCGCTTGCTTGTGCTGAATGTCTTATTCTACTTGAAGAGCTCCTATGTTGCATCTGCTCCTCTATTGGCTCGACCGCATCCATTGATGCCGTGACATTCTGTTTCGTTTTAGCAGATGAGGAAGACCTCCTCTTTTGCGCTGAAGTGGGAACTTTTTCTTCAACTGACTAAAAATATAAAAAATGAAGTAAAATTTTTTTTAAGTTTGTAAACACATGTGTAATGTTTGAGGTTACTTAGAAAATGAATGAAGAATTTTTTCTTCAATTTTTTTTTCAAACTTTATGGTCAAATATAAACGATTTTACTTTAAATCATGATGTAGCTCTTTTTTTCGTATTCTACCTCAGTCACTGGGATATCTATTGGCTCAACATTCTTTGAACTTTTTTCCTTCTTTTCTCTCATCTTTCTCTCATCAGTCTTGCCCTTGGTGTGTTTTGCTTCACTCGATGCTATTTTCCCCGTACTGGAGGATCTTTTCTTTTGCTCTGCCGAGATTTTCTCTTTTTCCGACGACTTTCTTGTTTGTGAAAACTGTCTTGTTGCAGGCTTCTTTGAAATTTCATCTTTATTTGTAGATTTTAACTTTGATCCTGCTTGTGCTTTTTTCTCTATGCCCTTCTTATAATGTTCAATTGCTTCTGCACTACTGACCTAACATAAATATGACAGAAATGTTTTTCATTTATTTTAAAAATAAAGACCAATTTATTTTAAAGATAATTATAAGATATTAAACATAACTATATATACAATAAAATACATTACTTTCTTATCAAGAGCTTTCCCAATAGCTTGTAATAATTCATTTGTCTTTGTTGCTTCTTGACCAGAGATAATCTTACTGGCTCTAACTGTTAAATTTGCACCTGAAATTAATTCTAAAACATATTTTATTTACATATATATAATTGTTTTTGCATATACAAGATCTTTTTTTAATTTTTTAATAACTATTACAAAGTTTGCAAAGGATTTTTCAATCTAATGCTATATATATGTTTAATATATAATATTATATATATTTTATATATATATTATATATGTATTATATATTATGTATTAATAATATTGTGTAATCTTAGCATGAAAAAGACATTTACATTTGAAAAAGATTTACATTTAACAGTAAAATATAAGATACTCACTGACAACATCAATAAGTTTTGTCAAGAAAGCAAGTTTTGCTTCCTTGTCTTTTATATTATCAGAATTTAATTCTTCCTCCGTAAATAATCCCTCCAAAAAACCCGTCTGCGCAATAACCTGAAATAAATTTTTACCCATAATATTTCAAAAATATTTCAAAAATATTTCAAACTTTTAATTGAAATTAATTGAAAAATCAATTTACTAGCTTTATGAATTAAACAAACGCACACACCACTAAAAGTGCCAAATATATATAATCGATACGTTACGGTCGATATGATGTCGTGGAGAAAACGAAAAGGTGGTTTGCGGAGTAATTTATCGGTTAACGGTGGTTTCTTAAAGTATTTCCCAAGTATATCTTGCGTCTTCTTTATTACTTCTAGTCGAACTTCGTCTGTCATTGTAACAACTTCCTCTTTCAAGTCATTTCCAACTGTCAACGTGTACGATATTTTCGCGGCGATACTCAGAATTGCATGTCAATGTAATGTCAAGTGGTTGCTAGGCAATACTTGCACCATTACCGCTCAATGAACTCAAGAATTTGATTGGTCTTTATTTTTAGATTTTGATAAAATTTGAAAATTGTGCCAACCATATCCAGAGCGAGGAAAAATGTCGGAATTATTTAATACTTTGAAACAAAGTACTGTTAGAAAATAATGTTTCAAACAAAAGATATAAGACCAGATCAAATCATCGTAATGATTTGACTTGGATGATAATGTCAAGGTTGCATAAAAGTTACTTCAATATTTTTTTTAATGGAAGCTGTTTTTCTTATTTCTTTTGCTGTCAAGATGATTTAGAAAAAGATATCATTGGACCTATTTTTATCATTTAGTTTAAAAGCAACTCTGCTTATAAAAATAGAAATATTCACTTACAAAGAGTAGAGTACAAATAGTTAACATTTAGTTCTCATTAATTTTAAATACTGGCTTTTAAGTGCTCTAAAAAATAACTACGTCATAATTTAAAGCAAATAAGGTTATTATTTCATTTATCATACAAATATTATTGAGAGAATATTTTTAAAGTCCCTAACATTTACCGCACGACAAAAAGCAACATCGTAGCCAATAAACTTTTAGCTCTTCCGGAAGAACAGCACGTTGATTGACTAACGTAAAACTTCAAGCGTCGCGTCATGCGTGTAACCTATTAGGCAAAGACCCTATAGTGCTGCCATTTATCACAGAATTCTTTCATAGGTACCAAACAAGTTAGATCTGATTAGATTTATATCTTATGAAGCGTAAGAACGTGAAAGAGAAGAGTTGTAATTGTTTATCATTGTGACGTGTTTATATCATCAAAGTTATTCATTGTGTGTGCAACACATTTATTTACGGTAGAAAAAAAATGGCATTTACATTTGGCACTCCAGCAATTACATCTAATAACACAGGTTTTGGATTTGGAACGCAGAAGTGCGTATAATTTTGTTGAAGTTAATTTTCAATCATCGACAAAACTATTGTATTATTATTGCATGATAATAAATAACGGCACATGAATAATTTTATGAAATATATATATATATATATTCAATTATTTTTTTAGACTAGCAACTGGTTTTAATCTGAGCAATACATCATTTGGTACTCCAACCACAACATCATTTGGCACTACCCCCACGACATCTTTTGGTTCATTAACGTTCAGTGCTCTCTCTACTCCAACAACGTCTATGAATCTCAATTTTGGATTTGGTAGCATTCCGACAACTTCTACGCAAGCACAATCTGGTAGTTTGCTCCTAGGATCCAATACAGCTATCACAATGACTACCGCACCTAGTTTATTTCCCACTCCTAGCACATCCGCACCTTTATTCACAGGCCTTACCTTTGGGACATCAGCTACAACAAGTGTCCCAACATTTGGAGTTACATCTAATACACCTGCAACGGGAAGTTTGACTTTTGGAACCTCTACTACCAATAGTACGTATATTTCATTATCTACTGATTTGTCAAATCATTATTTTCATGGTAAGAAAAGGCTGTTATAGTTGATTTATGTACAGCTGTATTTGCATCTGGAACTGGAAGTATTTTGCTAGGTACCAAGCCAGTAGTTGCCGCTACTACTACTACAACTAGTACAGGTCGAGGACTTGGTGGTTTGGACATTTCTATCAACAACAAGGGTTTATCTCAAGGAAATAGCAGTTCAACAGCAGCCAAGGAGAATTTATTGCCGAATGAGTTTATGCAAACCATAGATAAATTCAAGTAATTATCTTAATACATACATGCAGAGTATTGATAATTATAATTATCATTATAACATTATCTGTTTTTGTCTTATATTAGGGACTTTGTTAAAACGCAAAAAGTCCTATCTTCGGACATTGCGAGAGGCTCGGCGAGACCGTTGAATCGGTGTTCTGAAGATACAGCATCTTTAATGGAAATTTTATCTATCTTGTCTGGTTCTGTGCAACGAGATCGTTCTTTTGCTGATAAACTGAAGCAGGACACGGCGAGGGCGCTACAAAATGCAGAAATAGCTCAAAGAACTCACGATACTCCGCCGGGTTTACAGTACGAAAATAACGCGCCTCTGCAGTTCTTCATGGAATTAGTTGAGAACTTTGAACACGATCTGATGTTATTTAGATCGCAAATTGAGACAACAGAGAAACACATACAAGCCATGATGGCACCCAGAACGCTAACGCCGCAAGGTATATTATTTTTTTCGTTGAATAAATTCATTAGTGTTGATTGGTGATGATTAATCGTATCGCTTTGTTGTTAGAATTGACAATGGCCATGAGTAAATTACATGAGTCTCTGGTAGCAGTCGCTGGCAGATTGCAAAGTGTGCACGCTAAAGTGCAACAACAGAAGGAACAATATCTCAATTTCCGGAAATATGTATTGAAGGATAATACTAATGTTTTCGACAACATCAAGGAAAACAGTAAATCTAATCGGAGCAGTATTGAAAAGATTACAAGTGGTCCTACACCCTTTGGACCAGGTAATCATCTTTCTACATTTTTGTCATTACACTACACATAAACATTGTAGGTTTTCAACGAAAATTAATAATGCTTACAGGAAATAAAAGCTTTTTATCGTCGACGGCATTGAACTCAAACAGGCCGGCGAGTTATGAAACACGAAATTCTTTAGGTAAATAGGTTTTCTATATATGTTATATCGGTTATTTTAATATATACATATATATATATGCGTAAATATGTATAAATATATTTATATTTATATATATTTACATATATATATCCTTACTTTAAGAGTAAAAGATTCCTTAAAAATGACTTTAACCGTCCCCCTAAAGATCTCCTACCTTCAGGTCTTGCGTGGATCTAGTTATGAGGTAGAACTTACTAACATATAACGCCGTTTATTATTAAATACTAGTAGAATTAACGTGTGTTCATAATTAGTTGGTTTTGATTTTTATTCATTTGATTTGAAAATTTGACTTTGCCTTTCCAGGAAAAAAGTAGGGGCTGTATTTTAGTTATTAAGGTATTAAATTTTTATTTCAAATTTTTCTTTGTGTTGTCAATTGTGGGTGTTACGGGAAAAGGGAATAACATGCTTCTTTGTCTAAGTCTCCTATAAAGTTATTTTTCGTATAAATGATTATATTATTAATCTTCTGTATACTTTCCATTTTGGGATGTGCTATTGAAGACTCAATCACGAGGTCATGCTTTTTTAACGGATGATAGCGCCTTCTATATACACACACACGTACACATACACAATGTGCGCGTTCGCAAATTTAAATAATTATATTGTTAATATAACTAAACTCGAAGATTCAAATTATCAATAACAGTTGACAGATGGCCTATGATCTATTTCTATTTTTCAACTTATATTTGTTAAATATTTCTTTATATATTTTTTGTATTCTTTTTTTTTCTTAATATCTTTAATATTTATCTGCAGGCTACAGAAATTACTGATACCCCAAACATTTGAAATATCAGCATGTAATTGTAAAAAGAAAATGATTGTCTTAATGAAGAAACTGGATATTTCAGAAATCGTTAGTGTAGATATATGTTTGTTAAGACTTTATTTTTCTAAGTTCCATAATTAAGACTTTTTAAATAGCTAATAGAACTTGTAAAAATTGAAAAAATATATATATCTGGGAAAAATCTACATACATATGTATGTGTGTGTGTGTGTATATGTGTGTTTCACTGCTTTCGGCTTTGCCAATGTTATGCAATAATGCTTGTATACATAAATATAAATACTAATGAAAGGATATCATCGAGCTCGTCATGAATTCAAACGCACCCTACAAGTATGCAGAAAATGTTTACATTATACATTTGTGATGTACAAGAATATTAAATGTGTCAAAAAAAGAAAAAGAAGAAATGTCATTAACTTTGAAATATCGACTATCAATAAAAAATAAAATATTTAACAGGGGCAGAAGGTATTAATGATTAAAATTAGAGTTCGTGTCTTAAAATATAATTGTCAGAAATAGTAAACAGAACAATACAGTATCACTGATAGTGAAGAGAATACCTCATGGCTTTAGCTATTATACGTTTAATTTTTTACATTTAAAATGAATAAAAACTAATGGTTTTTCGATATATTGTTACAGTTTGGGAAAACACAACACCGATACAGTCTGCTACTAATAGTGCTATAGGCTCGTCTATGAAACCACCGACAGCGAGTTTAAACTTTAACTCGACAACTAATTTGATTGCACCAGCGAACGAATCCAGCTCGAACTTTCAGCTTCAGAAACCTCCAGTTGGTAATAAACGGGGAAAACACTAAACCTTTGTCTCAGATATCTTTATACTTCATTATCTTCACAATCTCAATTTTGTTAGTCCAATTCACTGTACACATTGGAATATTTCATTCGCCAGACTTTGTTAACATTTATGATAATAAAGTAAAAAAATTTGAAAGTAATTTTTACATGTTCTATATTTCGATCATGAAATACGTGTAATATTTTGGTCATTTTTATGCATGTTGTTAGTATTTATCACATTTACATAGTAAACTTATATATACATGGTAAACTTTATTAAAATTCATATTTTACATTACACATATCCTCTTATATTAATCCTCATACCTTTTACATACTATATTAAAGATCTAAAATTTTATTATTCTGAGAAATAATAGTATTATTAATACCTAAGTATACCAAAATTTTCCATTGAAATCTGATCAGTTTGTCAAACGTTGTATATTTTCATATATTTCCTCACGTGATCGTAACTAAAGGAAATACTGCGAAAGTTGGTAATAGTGAAGAATAGACAAATATATCAAGCTAAAATTGGTCCCTTTTTCGAATATTAATATTACATCGAATAAAGAGGATAATACGGAAACACTTATAAAATGAGATAATATAGTAATACTAAAGATTCTATTCTTCCTATGCCGGAAGTTACATTTAATTTATAGAAGATATCGTTAAATATAAACATTAAAAAGAATTCCTTTACATCTTATAATATCTCATCAAATAGCACCAATCTGCAAAATAGGAATGAGGAGTCTAAAAGCGTCTTGAATGTACGAATTTGCATTAGCTGCCTGTATAACGAGAAGGAAAAGTTTTTAGACAATTGCATATTTTATTCGATAATTATTTCAATATTTATATACTTACTTCTAAGAAAATCGTTGTTATATTTGCGTTAATGTCACCCGCTTTCTCTGAGGTCTCGGTGAACCGATTTAACGTATCGCAGAATAAATTTGCCAATGAACTGATCTGTTTAGATAAGATATTAGTGAGTTCCACTAAGGCATCGGCTTCGTTCACTGTGCTACGTCGTTCTTTGACCAATAGCAATTCCGCAGTCTTGTGAAACCTTTCTACAGAAAGTGCGGTGAACTGTGCCAGTGTCGATATAGCACTTTGAAAGATCTCCTGACTCGTGTGCGCTGAAGATGATGCGAGGTAAGTTTCCGTTTCTGTCCAAACCTGAGAATATCGCGATCATTATCTTCAGCAGGGTAATAGATAAACATAAAATAAATATAGAATGAATAATATTCCGTCGCTATTGTGAATATTCTCTTACACTGTTTAACTTCTCATAAGTGATGTCAACGCCGAGATCGTGACAAGCTGTTTCTAATTTAGTTTTGAAATCTTTCTTATCTTTATCCCCATCATCTTCGTCGCCTAGATCGCACAATTCTTTGATTTCCTCCAACGTTTCTTGCATAGATGTCAATTCGTCTGAGTCAAGTTCGATCAAGTGTTGTTGAATCTTCATATTGCTTTGTTTCGATAATATCTCTAAAGCTTCCAAATGGACCAGTCCTTGATAATCATCAAAGAGAGTCTCGAAGTGCACTTTTCTAGATAATATACGTTCCTCGAGCGTTCTCTCTTCGGTTTCAGCTTTTTCTTTTGCTTCTCTAAGAATCTGCGATAAAATCGGCTTGTCCGCTTCATTCATGAAGAAGGCCCTTTTCTTTTTCAATCCAGGATCACCATCTTGTAATACCTCCATTGTTTTTTTTCCAATTGCTTCTAACGTATCTAAACCACCCGTCATGACTTTACTACCAGTCAATTCAACTAATTTTGTAATTGAAGATACTCCTGATATAATATTCCCAAATCCAAATGAATCGTATAATGAACTTTCTTGTACTTGGGTGTTTGGTGTTTCTGCATCTGTTAATAATATAAGGATATATGTTGGATTTACTTGAATAGATTCAGTACTTAAATAAAATCAGATAAACATATATCTGATACATATTCTTGTTTCAGAGTTATAGCAACTTTGTTTCAAAAAGTTGCATAAATTTATAAATAATAAAAAGTTCCTATGACATATTATTATAACTAATATTATTAATGCAAAACATTAAATTAAACATTTCTTATATATTTAAAAATATTAAACTTATTTTTTTCTTATCATACCACTAGGTGTAGTAAGTTCTTCCTGCTTTGTCTCAATCATTTCTGGAGCTTGTGCTATCTCTGTTGTATTTTCAAAAAGTGTTAGCCCTTGTGACACATGATTAGTCAAAGTTGATACACCTGCAGTAGCAGTATTAATCAATGAAGTTACACCCCAATTTCCCCAATTACCCCAATTACCCCTATCTGAAGAACTTTCTGGTTCTTTACTCGCTAAGGAAAGCCTTTCCAATATAGGTTGTAATTTCTCTTCCGTCAATTCATCAGGTAATTCAATATCATTTCCAAGACCTTCCCAGCCTTCAGGTTGAAAAACATCTTTAAATTTTTTATTTGATTTTAGTTCTTCAGGCATATCCATTTCTTGCATATTATCTATACTCTGTGATTCAAATTGATCATTTATTAACTTATCTTCAGGTTTTTTTGGTAATCTACATTCTGAATCTTTGTTTTCAGAATGTGTAGATTCTTTGTTTAAACACTTGACTAAATGCTCATCCTCTTGTTCTGTAGCTATACTATCTGTAATAAGAAATTCACTGATATTATGCTTTGTAATCTTGGTTCCTAATTTTTTTGCATCCTGTTGACGAGATGAATTTTGTCGTGAAGTTCGAGAGACTTCTGCTGATCTTGTAGTCTCTGCTTTAGACATGATATCTTTTGGTTCCGCAATCTTACTACAATCTACTATAGGATTGTCATCTTTGTTTTTCATTATAGAGCTCGATATGGACTGTTTGCTAATCTGAAACAAGCTGGATGTACCTTCTTGCTTATCAAAAGCTTTTTCTATACAATCAGCTGAGTTTCCCATATGTACATCGCTCTCAACTTTGACATTGTTATCAGTCTTATTATCGTTAATTGCTGTCATCGGATTCATCGGTACATCTGGTAGGGTGGTTATCCAAATATCGTGTTTTTTCAGTAGATTCGAACTTCTGCAAGGCATATGTTGAACATACTCAGTATCATCGTCTGACTCAGAGTCCACTGTCGTTGGCGACGTCCAATAAGTCGTTGCTTGTATATTTCTCTTAGAGGACATACCACGTCCTAACTCTTCGTCGGCGCTTTCGAAATCGCCATCGCTCTCGGACGTTGCCATTTCTAGATAAGGTCTTATCTCTTTCTGAAGAAAAAAAGAATACACCGCATATGTCCAAGACCTCAAGTATGCGCAGAGGTCGTCGGTACCTGTCACTTTATGCAGAGAGAAGCGCAAGAACGATTATTGGTCTGTTCTTTGTAGCTGCACTGCTGAACTGGTGCAATAAGTTAGAATGAGGAAACCTATATTTGTCTCACTTTATATATACATAATGCCATACATAATGCCTACGCTTGGTCTCAATCTGGTCTGTTCTGTTTAGCTGAACAGATCATGCGTTTTGCCCTTATAGGATTTTTAATTGAGTTAGGTTTAGATCGCTTCAGGACCGATTAAAAGCTTACAGAAGCTAAGAGCAAATTCCAAATTGAACTTTAGTGATCTCATGTGGCAAAAATAAGACCTTTTCCGAAACCAGTTGCAGAAAATTTGATTTTAGTTATAAGGTTGGTGAGCCTTAAAATAATTTAAATACGTTCCATTGGCTGTGTTCAGCAGAACAAAATGATCAGTGAGCGCTTAGTGATTATTGTCTGTGACTGGAGCATTCTTTTAAATTCTTCATAGACCCAGAAGTATTTGCCAATCAGGAGCGAGAATCATTAAGCGCTCACTCATCATTTTGTTCTTCTGAACGCAGCCAATGGCTGCATTCAGCAGACTCAACAGTTGGATAACATTACTAGATTTTCCACTGAATCTCGCTCCTGATTGGTAAATACTTCTGGGTCTATGAAGAATCTAAAAGAATGCTCCAATCACAGACAATAATCACTAAACGCTCTCTGATCACTTTGTTCTACTGAACGCGAACATTGTCAGAGGAGAATGGCGTATGGGTACACCCTCTACCTAAAGCCATATACCGAACTGAACTGAACGGTTGTGAGCAGAGAGGAACATGAAAGCGGCTAACATGGTGTTTTCGACGACACCAACTTTCCGCATTGGGAAAGGGCGCCATCTGCATCCATTTTGAGAGGGGAACTACGATGCTACATCCACTTTCAGGTTTCGGCGATAAAACCTGTATGTGGTGGCAGTCCGTGCTACATCCATTTTAGGCGGTTTATGTCCGTGCTACAACCATAATAGCATATTTGACAAGCACGGTCTCGCACATTGTTACGCGTTTATAACATGAATTAACATGTTAACATGTGTAAAAAAAAAAAGTATTAACATTCTGTATGATTAATATCATGAAGATCATACGAAGTGTCCGGTAATTAGCTGCCAACCCGAAGTGTGAGGGTAGATTGGGTTGAGACAAATATAAAAGTCCTATACCATTTTGCGAGATTCGCAATAATTATCGAGTTATTAATGACAGAAATCTGAGGAGTAAAAGCGCGCCGACATAGATGATTCGAAAAGCATTGCAGTTGCTCAGGGCAGCGATCATGAATCTTTTCCCTAGCGTGAACTAATAAAAAGTGAAAGATTTCTGTGAATCAGTGAAAAATGAAAAATTTTATATGAATTTGTGAAAATCGAAACATTTCACACGACAATTGAGTCGTTCAACATGGCAGTTGCGCGTTTTGGATAATTCAATGAATACCAAAGAAATCAAAATGATCAAAATAATAATGTCCGTGTAGTGCGAAGGATATTACGTGACACGCAAAATCCGTTTGATATAATATCCAAAGAAAATGTTTCGAAATGTGTATGTACAGGTAATATAAACCTTATGCACCGACGAGATATACTACAAAGACTGATGGCCTGATGGACGGGATTTAGCATACCAGAGAAATTTCCCTGGTGAGGCATCCGGGCGAAAGAGACCGTCTCGCATTTAGCGCAGTAAAATTTAATGGAAACTAATACTTTTCAATCCTTTTCTTCGGATCAAAAAGATTCAGACATATTCAAAATGTCAATACTTTTTAATACGTTTCAATTTGACATTTTATACAGGGAAGCAGAAGGAAGGGAATGGGATGCGGGCAACGATACATCATGCGTCTCCAGACGTGTCAAATCGTTTATTATAGAGGAGACTTTGATACGGCAACATGTATTCGAATATTTAATCATCCCATGGATCACTTATATATAATAAAAAAAAATTAACGCGGATAAATGAACGATTCATATCAATTTTTCCTTTTCTTATAGAGCAATGAAAGAGGAAATCAGTATCGAAAATCGAATACCGATTAATACCATAAATCAGTGTCAGAAAATTGTCCAATGACAATTTGTTCTCATTTTTCAGGTAGTTACCGCTGTAATTTACATAACAAATTAACTCGGTTAAACGAACGATTCGTATCAATTTTTCTTGTCTTATAAAGAAATGAGAGAATAAATTAGTACCGAAAATTGAAGACCGATCAATATTTAATTTATTCATCAAATTAACGCGGATAAATGAACAAGTCGTATCAATTTTTTTTTCTTGTAGAGAAATGAAAGAGTAAATCAGTACCGAAAATCGAATATCGATTAATACCATAAATCAGTGTCAAAAAATTGCACACGTGCAATGACAATTTGTTCTTTTTTTTTCAAGTACACACCCCTCTAATCTTATTCAACAAATTAACTCAGATAAACGAACGATTCGAATAAATTTTTCTCTTCTTATAGAGAAATGAAAGAGTAAGTCAGTACCGAAATCCGAGACCGATCAATATCTAACTTATTCATCAAATTAAATCGGATAAACGAACGATTCGTATCAATTTTTCTCTTCTTATAGAAAAATGAAAGAGTAAATCAATACCGAAAATCGAATATCGATCAATACCGTAAATCAACGTCAGAAAATTGTCAACGTGCAATTACAATTTGTTCTTATTTTTTAGGTACTTACCCCTCTAATTTACTTAACAAATTAACTTGAATAAACGAATGATTCGTATCAATTTTTCTTCTCTTATAAAGAAATGAAAAAATAAATCAGTACCGAAAATTGAAGACCGATCAATATTTAATTGTATGTATACTTTATTGATTCCCCTGGCCGGGTTACAAATTCCAATGTAATCTCTCTTCCTTACTTCCTATTACGCTCGCCCCCATCCCCTCGCACACACACATATACACACACACTCCCATCCCCCGCCCCTCCTTAAATTTACTTTACAAATATCTTATATCTACTCGCTCGCTTATCTCTTATAATTAATTGTTCGCTTATCATCTATTCTTATACATATATATATATATATATATATATCTATATTTCTATGCCGCTGTTACTCCTATAATTTTTATTCTCTACCGCCGATTTTCACTTTCATCCATTCATTCCATTCCTTCACACTTTCTCCCTCGCTCTCTCTCATCCTTTTAATCCTCCTCGTCCTCTTTCCCGCCTCCTCCCTCTCCTAGCAGCCTTTTCTACCACCTATCCCCATCCCTCTCCCACTCCCCCCCAACGTGCACGATCAATATTTAAATTATTCATCAAATTAACGCGGATAAATGAACGATTTGTATCAATTTTTTCTTTTCTTATAGTACAATGAAACAGTAAATCAGTATCGAAAATTGAATGTTGATTAATAACATAAATCAGTGTCAGAAAATTGTCCAAGTGCAATGACAATTTGTTAATATTTTTCAGATATTTATCCCTCTAATCTTATTCAACAAATTAACTCAGATAAACGAACGATTCGTATCAATTTTTCTTGTCTTATAAAAGAATGAGAAAATAAATCAGTACCGAAAATCGAAGACCGTTCAATATCTAATTTTTTCATCAAATTAACGCGGATAAATGAACAATTCGTCTGAATTTTTTCTTTTCTTATAGAAAAATGAAAGGAGAAATCAGTACCGAAAACCGAATACCGATCAATATCGAATTTATTCATCAAATTAACGTGGATAAACAAACGATTTGTATCAATCTTTTTTTCTTTTATAGAGAAATAAAAGACTAAATCAGTACCAAAAACCGGATATTGATCAATACTATAAATCAGTGTTAGAAAATTGTCTAAGTGCAATGACAAGTTATTTTCATCTTGCAGGTACTTACCCCACTAATTTACTCAACAAATTAAGTCGGATAAAAGAACGATTCGTATCAATTTTTATTCTCTTATAAAGAAATTAGAGAATTAGTCAGTACCGAAAATTGAAGACCGATCAATATTTAATTTATTCATCAAAATAATGCGGATAAATGAACGATTCGTATGAATTTTTTTCTTATAGAGAAATGAAAGAGTAAATCAGTACCGAAAATCGAATATCGATTAATATTTACTATAAATCAGTGTCAGAAAATTGTTCAAGTGCAATGACAATTTATTCTCATTTTTCAGATACTTACTCCTCTAATCTTTTTTCAACAAATTAACTTGGATAAACGAACGATTTGTATCAATTTTTTTGTCTTATAAAAAAATGAGAAAATAAATCAGTTCCGAAAACCGAAGACTGATCAATACCATAAATCTGTCAAAAAATTGTCCAAGTGCAATGACAAGTTGTTTTCATCTTGCAGGTACTTACCCTACTAATTTACTCAACAAATTAAGTCGGACAAAAGAACGATACGTATTGAATTTTTATTCTGTTATAAAGAAATTAAAGAGTCAGTCAGTACCGAAAATTGAAGACCGATCAATATTTAATTTATTCATCAAATTAACGCGGATAAATGAAAACGATTCGTATGAATTTTTTTTCTTATTGAGAAATGAAAGAGTAAATCAGTACCAAAAATCAAATATCGATTAATACCATAAATAAGTATCAAAAAATTGTCCAAGTGCAATGACAATTTGTTCTCATTTTTCAGGTACTTGCTCCTCTAATCTTATTCAACAAATTAACTCGGATAAACGAACGATTCGTATTAATTTTTTTGTTATAAAACAATAAGAAAATAAATTAGTACCGAAAATCGAAGATCGTTCAATATCTAATTCTTTCATCAAATTAACGCGGACAAATGAATAATTTGTATCAATCTTTTTTTCTTTTATAGAGAAATCAAAAGCTAAATCAGTATCGAAAACCGAAGACTGATCAATACCATAAACCAATGTCAAAAAAATTGTCCAAGTGCAATGACAAGTTGTTTTCATCTTGCAGGTACTTACCCCACTAATTTACTCAACAAATTAAGTCGGACAAAAGAACGATTCGTATCAATTTTTATTCTGTTATAAAGAAATTAGAGAATCAGTCAGTACCGAAAAT